GCTCTACCATTGAGCCACTGAGACCAACTTAAAATTTGTTGATATAGACCCAAACCCTAACCCAAACCCAAACCCTAACCCTAACCCTATCCCTAAAATAAATTAAAATTAGCCAAAAATAATAAAAAATAAAATGAATAAGTGACAAAATTAGCCAATCAGAGAAAAGAGCCGGTTGTTTAGTTTTCAGAACTCCGAAACCGGATCCGGTTGTTTAGACACTTCCTTAATGGCATGCCTGGCTGAGTGAGGCACAGCCACAGCACACAGTCACAGGCACTTGGAACGTCTCAATAAAAAAAAAAGTAAACACAAAATGTATTTACTACCAAATTAAGTCTTAAAGGGTCTATTGCGAGAATTTTCCAGTGTTTTCCCCACTTTTATGATACCTACCGTTATTGCTTGAGTAACAGCAATTGTCTAGAGTAACGATAAAATGGCTTAGAACCTTCGTATTCACCAAATCCAATGAAATCATGCACGATTACAATTTTGCGTTCTGTTTCTGTTTACCATTGCCATCTCTCGAATTTTCTGTTTCCTGATTCTGACAGCCATTTACATTTACTGGGCAAGGTTAGCGAATGCGAGAATTTCGTCAGTCTTTGTGTGATTTCACGTGACACAGCTCGGTTACGAACAGAGACAGTATGTTTTTATAACAAGTTAACACTGTTCTTGAAATAGAAACAAAGATGGAAGCTGTTGGATGTGTATTCGTGCTGTGAAGGCGTGAAATCAAGCGAGAGTCGAGCGAATTTAGGGATCCCGTTTTCCTACCTGCTATATATATAAGTGTAAGTGTGCACAGTGCAGCCGCGAGAGCAATGGCCCTCGGCAGCGTATGTTTTGCATAGGATTTGGACGGAATTTACAGGAAACTGTCGGCAATAATAGGTGAAAGATAGTATAGAAACATTGAGAATTTGGTAGTAAATAGATTTCGTATTTATTTAGCATTATATTTGATTGAAATGCTTCAAGTGCCTGTGGTATAAATGACCGGACCCGGTTTTCGGAGTCCTGAAAACTAAACAACCGGCTCTCTTCTCTGATTGGTCAGTTTATGAACATAACAGGACAAATATATAATAGGACAATTTTTAATGCAAAACATAAAGAAATATATTTAATTCCGAACGTAAACAGAAGTTACAGAACAAATAAATGAATAGGGGCCTACAGAACAAATAAATGCAAAAACAAATAAAATACAAAGAAATACAGAAAGCTGAAGAAAATAAAAACATTTTATGGGGTTCGAACACGGTACCTTACTATCACGAAGCGAAAGCTCTACCATTGAGCCACTGAGAATTTGTTGATATAGACCCTAACCCTAACCCAAACCCTAACCCAAACCCAAACCCTAACCCTATCCCTAAAATAAATTAAAATTAGCCAAAAATAATAAAAAATATAATGAATAAGTGACAAAATTAGCCAATCAGAGAAAAGAGCCGGTTGTTTAGTTTTCAGGACTCCGAAACCGGATCTGGTTGTTTAGACACTTCCTTAATGGCATGCCTGGCTGAGTGAGGCACAGCCACAGCACACAGGCACTTGGAACGTCTCAATAAAAAAAAATGTAAACACAAAATGTATTTACTACCAAATTAAGTCTTAAAGGGTCTATTGCGAGAATTTTCCAGTGTTTTCCCCCACTTTTATGATACCTACCGTTATTGCTTGAGTAACAGCAATTGTCTAGAGTAACGATAAAATGTCTTAGAACCTTCGTATTCACCAAATCCAATGAAATCATGCACGATTACAATTTTGCGTTCTGTTTCTGTTTACCTGCCAATTAAAGAGAGCAACTGACAAAAGCAGCACTCTGTGAGTTCTTTGCATCCATCTGTGACCGCTAACTGAACACGGAAAAGCCCGCTTTAAACATTGCTGCACTCGCCATTGAAGCCCTTACTAGAATGAACGTATGGCAATTATTAATGCAATGCTAACAAAGAAATAATCGAAGCAGCCGCATCACCATGGCCAAGCGACAACATGGGTACATATAACTACATGCGAGGGTCATCCTCATGGACATGGTCATACACACCAGTTACTATATATAGACGTTCCCAGGGTGTGACTACTGTACAATATAGGCCTAATAAATTCATAACAAAACAAGCACGCACTATGCATCACAGGTAGCCTGAAGGCTGCCAGCCATGGCAACCATTAAAGCTGCATTATCAGCTAATTAATTATCCCAGCATTGCAACCACTGTGCGCACAACCAAGCTACTTAGCTTGCTAGCTACTGTCTACTTTGGCTCTCACATAATATTAATAGCCTTTGTTGCTCTTCACAGAAATAATATGCTAATTAGACTATATATTTCTATATAACTATAAGTGTCACTATCAATTTCTATGGTTGCTCTGCATTATGGAGCAATGTAGAGCAACGTGGAGCAATGCAAAACTAAGCAGAACGATGAAGGGTATAGTGTTAGATCTATGCTGGCTGAACCCTATATAAATGTTTCGAAAATAGTAAAGTTTTTTCCTGAAAAGCGGCCCGAACATTTCATCCGTCACAAAAATCGTGTCTCTCTCTACACCCTTCGCTCTATTGCGTTAGCTGTGATAGGATATATCCTATGGGGCACCCATTTAAATTCAAGCTGGATGTGTCATAGAACACGCAATGTCTATATAACACTGCCAGTTTTAAACGAACCGATTTAACCACACGCACGGCACATTAGATGGGAATTAGGGGCATTTACTATAGCGTTTTATTTGCCTTTAGGGCGCACGCAGAACAGAAAATCGATAGCGTACATCTTACAGGTGAGCAGTTTGAAGATATGATCACACAGCTTTAACATAGGAATCTAATTAGGGAAGCTGCGGGGAAACGATACATTCGGCAGGAGAGCGAGGCAAGTTATTACCACAGACTACGCTGATTACTGAAGACTGAAAAAGAAATGTACAAAAACCTCTAGAGACTTTTCCATAACCACTAATAACTAACTATTGGTACCGTAACTGTCAAAATTAAGCAATACACACCCTTACTAGTTTCATGTTTATAAATATGTCAGATGCTAAAAATCAATTGCTGACGCTATGACAACACATGTTAGCGTACGCGGTACCAAATATGTGTGTCAGTATATAGCAGGGTGCGGCTCTAGCTATATATATAGTCAGTCTACTGTGCAACAGGCATTTCCACTAGTAACCCCACCCTATGTATTTCTGCCAAATGACACACAGTTTCAGGTATCTTCTGTTCTCAGAGGAAAAAATTTCCAAGATATATCAATCTTGGGATTTCTTTGAACACCTCCCACCACTACCTGATCACCTCTACCACAGGCATACCCTACACCCTCATCCCAAATTTAAATAGCTCAGAGGACCGATTCTCAGCCCAATAAGTGTTTGGCAGCTTTCTGCATCATTACCAACAAGCCACATCATCTTTGAAAATAATTAAATTAAGAATGATATAACTTCTAATTATAAGTTGAAATTTATAAATGGTGGGCTATTGAATGTATATGATGTGTAAAGTCTTAGCAATTAAGAGGTGTAACCGTGTAACTGGAACCATAGTAACGCTATTCACTTATTCGATTTATAGTTAGATTTTTTCTGCTGGATAGTCAGATGGATGGATTTTTTCTGATGGATGAATAGCCAATTATGCTTTTGCCAACCAAGAGATTTCTGAAGGCCTTAACCCTTGTGACTGGCTAACACTGATTTAAGATGTAGCTTAAAGAAATGTTTACCTGTTTTAAATAGCATATGATACTCTTCCACTCTCACAGATGTGTTGGGCTGGGCTTACTATAGTACGGTATGCTCACTACAGACACGCCCATGGATTATTATACATAAACGTTATATACGTAGTTATAGTTACTATTTCAGAATACGTACGAAACCACCATTTTTCTTTTACTTTTAGTCTAACAAAGTAATACAAAGGGATCATATAATAACTCTGAAACATTTTTACTAACATACCAATTGGAACAGGTGAACTCCTCTCCGCCATCTCAAATCCGGTACCTGGCTGGTTCGGTGTAGCTAATCCATACGAGCCACCGTCGGTCATGCCTTTCTTCGAAGCTTACAATAGTCTTTAAACAAAGGCAAAATCGCAACTTAGGAAGCTAAACCAAATGTAACGACTCATGATGTATCTGCGCGTGTGCTGAGAGAATCAATGACAATGTTCTCAAAGTATGAGAACCAGATGAACAAAACACGCACTCAAGTTTTACGCGAGTTCGCGATTCCTTTCTTCTCTTCACGAACAACTCAAAACATTGTACTCGGGTTCATACGACAACTAAACAGCTACGGATCACAGTGAATTCAACGCAGAAACTTTAATAATGTCACTAATATGTCCTATTAACAATGTAATGAAGATAATATCATAATTACGTTTGCTATTTGCTAGCGACAGATTGCGAAAGGAACAATCTTTCTTGTAGACATTGCTGAAAGTGAAAATGACGTTTATACTCGACAGTGACACCAAACAAGCAATGCTTCTTCTTCCTCGTCTTCTTGGAGGCGCAACTGGCTCTTAATGTAATCACTCCACAAACAATGCAAATACTAACTTACTTTCAGGGCGTTTGAAGAAGCATCGTTTGAAAAAAATGTTCTTCCGCACTCACAACTTGAATGTAGTAACAAAACTTCGAACATTTAAGCTAGTCGGCGCCACTATCCACTGGCATTATCGTTCGTCGTCGCCGCATATTTTCACGCGAAGCAAATCTATTTTTGGACGACATCGTGCTGTACCTATGTGCTGTACATTCATAGTAAAACAGCCAACGATTCGCGCATGATAACAACACATTTCTAAATTAATATAAATATTATATAGTTAAGAAATCTGTGAATATTTAATGAAAAAATTATGATATTAACTGGCATGCTCCCATTTGTATTCATGCCATGTTTGCGAATAGAAGATCTCCTCAGCAGTGCGCCTCGATCACTCTTTTGCGATTGGCTGGACTCTTAGCGTGTGATGGCGACCAACATCATGGTGACCCCGTGGAGAGCCGCTGCATCTAAAGTTTCATGTGTTTTCTCACAAGTTAGGGCTGGTAAGATATGCCAGTCTACATTTTATATTCATATTAGCTAGTTTTTGCAATAAGACACATAGGCAGTTTTCTTGAGGTGCGGTAGGCCTATCGATTTATTGTTAAAGTTCTTTTCAGCGTGTTAATGTTTAAAATAATATTATATTAATATTACTTATTACTATTATTAGTATTAGTATTACTAAGTAATAGTAATACTAATACTAATAGTAATAGTAATAGTAATACTAATAGTAATAGTAATAGTACTAATACTAACTAACTAAGGCTGAGAGGGTCTATGTCCCCCGGGGTACTGTCGGCAGTGTCGGAACGTACCCTGGGTACGTCCGGTATCGGAACGTACCTGTCACTAAATCATATACGCCGGACGTACTCGCCTAACTGCCACTAAGGCCGAGTCTAGGGAGTCGCTAACGTTACTCCCTAACCTAACCCATTGTCCCCAACCCTAACACGCTAACGATATCAAATTTGTGACGCAGGGTAGGTTCCGGTATACGGACCGTACCCGGGTTACGTTGCCGGCAGTACCCTGGGGGACATAGACCCTATGAGCAATACTAAGTACTATTACTACACTAGTGTCTAGTGTAGTAGTGAGTAGTGATACTAATAGTAATACTAATAGTAATACAGTAATTCTAATAGTAATATTAATAGTGTTAATGTTAGGCAGTGTGTTAATGTTAGGCAGTGTCTAAACCACAGGCACTTGAAGCGTTTCAATAAAATATAATGCTAAATAAATACGAAATCTATTTGTACTACGGAATTTCTTAATGTTTTTTATACTTTCTTTTACAGCTATTACTTGGGCCGCAGTTTCCTGTAAATGTCGTCCAAATCCTATGTACAACATACGTAGACTAGCTGGTACCCGTTCGCCACCTTCACTCCGGCATATATCGGATATCCTTCGCTACACTGACGTTCGTTAGTGTAGCGTGTGGAACTGTTGACCGGGTACCAGTCTACAACATACGCTGCCGGCGGCCATTGCTCTCGCGGCTGCACTGTGCACACTAGTCCGCCACAACTGCAGACGTTTATAGACTCGCTTTGCTATCGAGGTGCGGTTTATCGACCCTGCAGTCACTATTGTAAAATGGTTGCAATTTTGCTCATCTTCGCACATCTTCAAGCTGAGCTATTGCCAATGGGGTCGTTGTCCGTCGTACGTCGTCCTCGTCAACTATTTGCTACGGTCAACGATAACTCACGGAACCGTTTGACCCACATGTTTGAAATTGGGCATAGTTGTTTACTGCTATGCTCCATATTAAACGCCTATTTTGGAGCACGCCAGTTGACGTACTTTCGAGCCACGGCAATTTTGTTAGTCGAAAAATGGGAATTGCCATTAGTCAGTTTCAGGTTCAACGGATTTTGCTTATTTTTGTATGTGAATGAATAAGGCAGGGTTTTGTTATTTTAAAAAAAATTACTCAAATTAAGTATGGTTGTGGTCTAATTATATAAGCATATTCTATATGACACCAGATAAACAAGCAGTCTGTGAGTGTCACACGTCTGGTTCGTTTTAACAAGATTTATTGACAATATACTTTCAATGCAAACAATACTGCTATGAACATATTAATGATTACTACTATTATGATATATATTACTAGTATTTGACTATACATAATTTATGATAAGAAGAATCAAGGCCGAGTGTAGCGCGCACTAACGCGTCATAATTGTGATTCAAATTTTGGTTTATAAGTGATTTATAATTTATATATAATATTCATTTAATTATTATTCTTTCACATACAAAACTTACTCCCCCCCCCCCGAACACATATAATTATCAAGAGGTATAAAATGGGAGTTGCTCCACTATATACTTTTCGTTTCTATAATGTACGTCGATGGTTGCTTCATTAAAAATGACTTCTTCTCACTCAACGTCCATTTGTGTTCTTTTTTGTGTGAGGCTAACAAGTGTTTATTTGAGACTTCATTGATTGTGGGCATTGGATAGGTGAATCGGAGTAGCAGCCTGGAGGGCGTTTGAACGGGGGTATATCCGACCGAAATGATAGTCACAGTACAGACCTTCTGTTTGTACATATCGGTTTCCGAAGAACGTTATCTCCGTTTCAGGACGTTCTGTTTTATGGCAATAATTCATCGCTAGTAAGAGTAACTGTCGATTATTTTTTGGCGCATATTGACTGATTTTTCGATCGGCCAACATTCTGCCGTAGGTATCGGTTCACTCGGAAATAAATTAAGGGCTGACGTCCTCTGTACACGATGGATCTGACAAGGTAAAACAACTCTATAGAGCGATATTGCCCAAGAAAAAAAAAGTTCGACGTTACTGGTAAGTAAATGGCGCAGTAACAGGCTATATAGAGCTGGTCTCGCTCCCGACTTCGTGTCGATTACTCACTCTCGGAGTAACTAAGCTGAGGCCGAGACGATGGAGTGAGTACCAGTGCTATGGACTCATAGGCGGCTGCATCTTTGCAACTCCCATACGAGCCTTGCCATTGTCATTGGAGCGTTGCAAAAACGTTGCAGCGTTGCGGCGCAAGAATGAGGTCACGAAGAGCTCCGGGTGGGGGTTTCTGATTCTGAACGAGCCATTTACATTTCACGTGGGACAAGGTTACGCGAATGCTGAGAATTTCGTCAGTCGCTTTCTGTGTGAGATTTCTACGTGACACAGCTCGTAGCGAACAGAGACAGTATGTTTTATAACAAGTTAATCACTGTTCTTGAAAAGGAAACAAAGAGGAAGCTGTTTGATTTGTGTATTCGTTGCGTGTAAGCAGTGAGGGATCAAGCGAGAGTCGGGCGAATTTTAGGGGATCCGCATTTTTCCTACTGCTATACCTATATACAGGTGTAAGTGTGCAGCAGTGCAGCCGGCGGAGAGCAAATGGCCCTCGCAGCGTATGTTTTGGCATAGGATATTGGACGGAATTAAAGAAACCTGTCGGCCAATAATGAGGTGAAAGGATAGTGATGAAACATTGAGAATTTGGTAGTAAATAGATTTCGTGATTTATTGTAGCCGCATTATATTTGATTCCGACACATGCATTCAAAGTGCCCTGTGGTATAAATGACCGGCACCGGTTTTCGGAGTGGCTGAAAACTAACAACCGGGCGGCTCTCTCTCTGAATGGGTCAGTTATGACATACACAGCGACAATTATATAATAGGACAATCTTTTAATGCAAAATCATAAAGAAATATATTTAATTCGGCGAACGTAAACAGAAGCTTACAGAAAACATAAGAATAAGGGGCCTACAGAAGCAAATCAATGCAAAACAAATAAAAACAAAGAAATACAGAAAGCTGAAGAAAATAAAACAATTTTAGTGGGTTCGAACACGGTACCCTTTACTACATCACGAAGCGAAAGCTCTACCATTGAGCACTGAGAATTTGTTGATATAGACCCTAACCCTAACCAAACCTAACGCAAACCAACGCGCTAACCTATCCGCTAAAATAAATTAAAATTAGCCAAAAATAATAAAAATATAATGAATAAGTGACAAAATTAGCCAAATCAGAGAAAGAGCCGGTTGTTTAGTTTTCGGACTCCGGAAAGCGGATCTGGTTGTTTAGACACTTCCTTAATGGCATGCTGGCTGAGTGGGGCACAGCCACAGCACACAGGCACTTGAGTGCGTCTACTAAAAAAAAATGTAAACACAAAATGTATTTACTACGCAAATTAAGTCTTAAAGGGTCTATTGCGAGAATTTTCCAGTGTTTTCCCCACTTTTTATATCTACCGTTTTGCTTGAGTAAGCAGATTGTCTAGAGTAACGATAAAATGTCTTAGAACCTTCGTATTCACCAATCCAATGAAATCATGCAGCGATTACATATTTGCGTTCTGTTTCTGTTTAGTTCGGCCATCTCTCGAATTTTCTCGCGGTCGCGCGAGACATCTATCACAGTGCAGCAATGCATACCACGCACCATAGAAATCAGGTCAGGTGTAAACACAGACGTTCATACTAGCGTAACAGCAGTGTAGTACTAATGCCGTACGTAAAGTCTGTTATTAGAGAGCTTGTGATTGCCAGTCAGATAGTAACACGCGGGAATGACAATGACATAAAGTCTGCTGAATTATTGACTTAAAAACTCAATAATATATACCAAACAGAATTGCACGCCTTTTGTTTTAATTATGTTTGCTTGTTTGAGACGCCATTTGTGATTTTAGAGAGTCGTGCCGATAAATTTATTGCTGGTATGATGTGGTTAATCAATTTTTCTATGCTATAACTGCATAAAATCTGGTGTTTTGAATGTTGGTATAATTCAGTGATATTTTCCACTGTCAGGTGAGACTATATATTCAGGCTATATTTCGTTTTTCTGAGCCAAAAAACTCGCAATAATCACTTTAATGTTTCTCTACTCTATTTCGCCTATTATTGCCGATAATTATTCGTAAATGCCGGTCAAATGCTCATCTGCAACACACAAGTTCACCGCACGCCCGCCCTGTGCACAAACAACATGAATAAGACTATTAAGAGAGCAGGTAGGAAAGCGTGATCGCAAAATTTACTCGACGCTTGCTTCATTTGACACGACTACAGAACGAAAACACACCAAACAGTCTCCATCTTGGTATCTATCTGTAGCTAAATGTTCAGTTGTTCGAATTAACTCTGTCCTTTGTTCTTATCTACTCCTGCCAGAGATATCTCGTGAAATCCTGCAGGAAATGTTCTCTCCGTGAAAATGTAAAGAGGACGTACGTATCATTCGAAAATCCCTAACGGCGCTACTTTCGATCGATCACTGTAGTCGTGTGTGTGTGTGATGTCACGCCCGCACGCATTATGCTTGGCTTGGCGGGCCTCGAAACGGAGGCTCGGACTCGGAGGCAGGCAGCAGCTCATCCCGGCATGCAATGCACCCCATTACTCGTGTATAAACAGACATCTCGTTCTCTTTACATTTTCATGGAGAGAACATTTCCTGCAGGATTTCACGAGATATCTCTGGCGGGAGTAGGTAAGAACAAAGGACAGAGTTATAATTCGAACAAGTGAACATTTAGCTACAGATAGATACCAAGATGGAGGCTGTTTGGTGTGTTTTCGGTCTGTAGTCGTGTGAAATGAAGCAAGCGTCGAGCGAATTTTGCGATCACGCTTTTCTACCTGCTCTCTTATTCATGTTGTTTGTGCACATGGTGGGCGTGCAGTGTACTTGTGTGTTGCAGATGAGCATTTGACCGACATTTACGGGTAATTATCGGCAATAATAGGCGAAATAGAGTAGAGAAACATAAAGACTTTGTAGTAAATACATTTCGTGTTTATTTACCATTATTTTTTTAATTGAGACGTTCCAAGTGCCTGTGGAGTGAGGCAAGCCTATGGCACATCAATTTCAAATTCAATGGGACATCCGTGGAATCGCACTCCTACTCCTAGAAATATGGTCATACATTGCAAGACATTGAAACTGAAAGTGTATTGACGCTAGTCTCGTATCCTAGTTGGTACAAACTTTATATGGCTCTACCAGTGTAGCACTCCCTCCTGGAGCCAGGAAGACCAGAGGCAGCTAGAGGGACTAGGTGTACTATTAGTGTTACTACTACTAGTATAATTCTACACTATAACGGTAATTAAATCACATCATTGCAATCACAGTGGTTCCCCTGCATTGACACAAGCGAGGTGGGCCGCGTGGCTCAAATTCCCAGCCGCCACACAGAAATTTGTCCAAAACACTGCCTCACTGACGAAAATCACTGTTCTTCCATAGAACAGTGCTTGTAAAAATATAATGCACCAAAATAGCTTAGATTCGAATGCACCAAGTTGCACCATTTTTGCAAAAAATGTCTGGGCGGGGCATGCCCCTGGACGCCACGCCCCTAGCTGGGCGAGCACCTGCGCTGCTCACTTTGCCATGTACTCGAAAAGCGCAAACACACCAACAATTTTTTTACCACCTCACAAACCTTTTTCGCCAGGGTAAACACTGCAATCACATATCAGATGAATACCTCTCCCCTTATATTATCAGAGATAATCAAGCCTAATGATCCCACCACCAATATGTAGTAACATCACCTTAAAATTCTCTATTGCATCCCTGTTGGAATAGGCTACTAGTGGGAGTGGTGGAAGCTAACAACATTCTTGTCACAGCTACAGTTCCATGGCTCATGCAAATGGGTTGAGTTCCTGTCAGATGTAGCAAAATTTGTTGTTGTTTTTAGTATACGTGTTTGGGTACATTCCCTGAGAGCACATATACATAGTTACGATATCACATAGTTGGACACTGAAATCTACTAAAACATGCCATAATTGATAATTTTTCTATTATTCAGATTCTGCTTTCCAGTGTGCAGCCTCACAACTGACGTAGCAATAGCCTCTATGCTCGCACAAAGCGTGTACACAAGGCATCGATTAGTGCAGTTGTTTATTGTCATATGACACTTTGAAGTAGCAATATTATATATATCACATAGATCCTGTCATAGCTCTTTGAAATTAGCCCTGCTGACCACACCCACTGAAACCCAACCAGGTATATGATTCTAGATCAACTAAAACAACCTAAAGAATTGAAGAATAAAAATAAAAGGCATTATTGCTAGCAGGCCTTGTGCACAAATCTGCATCTTAAACAGTTTGGCAGTCTTGTATCTGCTGCTCAAAAACTTGATATAACTATCTCCTAGGTTTATCAATTGCCAATGACAATAAATACCAACAATTACCAATTATCAACCTTATAATTACGCTGAATACAGATTATAGAAAGCAGACGGTATCTGTCAAAGTAGTATGCACAAAGCTAAATCAGCCGCATGTAGTGGAAGCAATCTATCAGCTCAATATGATGCTCTTGCTACGACTACTTTAAGTTTGCATAATAATGACAGGGTGGTAAATTAAGGAATATTAATTCAATGCAATTTATGTTTTACTTCATTTAGATAGTTGCCATGTTATGCTATCACCAGCCTGGTCGGCTCGAGTCACGGTCATACCAACTACCCGTGGTGGTCCACTCTGTGCTATTCACCGACAGTACAGCTTCATGACAAATTGTGAGGAATGGTTGATTATCTGTCACAGATGTAGTAATAATCTGTTTCACTTTACCCTAGACAGCTAGATAAGCAAATGTTAAAGGGTCGTACGTATGAGAATCTTGACATGTAATGTTCTTTTATATATCATTTATTTTTAGAATGTGCAATTACATTTATAATTTGTAACTAAATTTCCTGGAAACAACCATCTACCTATTGAATCTCAAATCAATGTTTTATGATTGCAACAGTAATGACTGTGGTGACGATATGGTTAAACAGTGCATTTATTGTTTCTGAGGAGTTTGTGATAATTTTAATTATATAAGCATTTATGGTTTGACGAACACTTTTCACTATAGTGACTGCAAATGCTCTATGGAAAGGAGTGACAAGTGTAAGTGCAGCAGGAAAAAAGCGAGGAAGAGGCAAGAAAATCCACAGCAAAAGTGTCAAGGATCTCAATCGAGGACAGAGACTAGGGACAGGTGAGGTGTGGTAGTAAATAGGCACGATTTTATGGTAACATAGTGGTAAATATGCCAAGTAGAGGAAACCATTTTAAATTGTAGTCAAATCTATGTATAAGGGTCAGTTGAAAGAAATGCCAAAAATGGACTTTATAAATAGCTGCCCATTCTATAGGTCATGTGATTTAATTGTATAACTGCCAGTCATGGAACATGCAAAAGTGTACTATATAAACAGATGTCTATGCTACAGAGGTGATCACTAACAGGTTTGACTGTTAACGGCCAAAGGGTTCGATGTGAAACATGCCAGGGAATATGAAATCCTGATCTGACATGTAAATTCTATTTTATTTCTTCAGGTCGGGCAAATATAGTCTGGCCAGGCTTAAATGCCCCAGTATTTAGAGGCAAGGAAATTGTAGAAATGAGACAGCTACCTCCAGACCCTGACCGTGAAGCAGAGCTTATACGTATCCGAGATGCTATGGACAAGTTTAGGCCAGTTAAAATTCCACCCATAGAGCGAGGCTGGACAGGAGCGAAGATGCCGGGCAGAAGTGTTGGACCACCGGACCCTGTAGGAGATGGTAAATGTTCCTCCATGGTTTCCTTGGCCAAACAGACTTTGTTCGTTAGCATTAAATTGAGACAATTAGTTTGTTTTTAGCTCATCTGACATAGTCAGATGCAGCTTGTAGATTCGCATGATCGTCCGTCCGTCCGTCCGTCCGTCCGTCAACAGTTGGGCACAAATCTTAACCGCTCGACGTACGGTCACGATATTCGGGGGAATCGTCCAAACGAGTTGGGATGTCGAAGCTGGGGGTCAAAGGTCAAAGGTCAAGAGGTGTAAAAGAAGGGGGAACATTCACTCCTTAACTTAAGGTATAGGGAGGAAATGCAGAATTGCGGCACAAATCTAAACGGCTCGACCTAGGCTCGTGATAATCGGTGTATAGCATCATGGTAGAAAAAGCCCTCACTGTGCCGAAATTGGGTCACAGTCAAAGGTCAATGGCACAGGGCAGATTTTAGACATTTTCTGAGGAATCATGGTCGACGAGCCTTGAAAAACTTTTTGTTTGCAGCGTTACTAGCATTTTTTATGCTTATGAAAGGACCATGAAATGTACCTTCTGCTGACATGCTGAAGAGGAAGTGTCCAGATAACCTTTGACCCTCAGAGGAGGGTTAAACATGGATTTTGTTGCCTGTCTTTAGAAAGAATTTGACTGCCGGTTGCTAAGTAGAATCTAGACGATGCCTGATGTATGAGGCTACAATGTCACAGTGCAATTTCAAAAGCTAAATTTGTAAAGAAGGATTTATGCTCTTTCAAATCGTATAATTTCTATGGCAATTCTGTACTGTCAGGTATGTTACATGTAACATAATCCACTGGCCAGTGCCACTGCCGAGTGCAATGTGGTGGTGTACTGCTGTAAGTTTTTGGCCTGCGATAATTGGTTACAGGTGGCAGCTTCTCTATGCAGCCTGTATGCTTCGTCGGTAAAAATGGATGAGTGCTTACCTATTCTGTTTGCAAATAGTTGATTCTACTACGACGATGGGAGCTTCCATCTTTAAATCTTGAAGACACTTAAACCGTACGCGCCATCTCGTGGGCAAAACTTTCATAACGATCCAACAAACATTCCTTGAGAAGGTTCGATGAAGCCATCCCTGTGGCATTCCACTGTTTCGGCGTGTATGTGAACACATTGGGACTAACAGGGTTATCGTAGAATCCCACCACTCCACCACAGAGTCACCGCAGTAGACGTTAGATCGAGCGCTGTCGCTCCACCGGCTAAACTTGTTTACACAGTAAGAAAAGTGAATATACTGATTAATGGGAACTGAAACTTAACTTGTATGATATAGGAATAATGTCATGTTTGTAATTTTCAGAGAAGTTTGAAGGGTTTGACACCAAAGTATTAGAGGTAAGCTTAGACCATTTAAGATTTAAAGAAATTTAAGCACACGGCCCTTGAAGTGCCATACGTGTTTTGCACAACAGGCATTGCAACTAAATTCTTTTGATTATATAGCGTCATCTGACATAGTCGCAATGCCAGGCCTTGTTAGCAATCGCATTGATCGTCGGTGCGTCCGTGCGTCCTGTTCCGTGCGTCCGTCGGGTGCGTCCGTGCAACAGCTTGGGCAAAATCTTTAACCGCCCGACGTCGGTCACTGATTTCGGGATTGGGGGGCGGTAATCCGAAAACGAGGTTTGCGGATTGTCGAAGCTGGGGTCAAAGGTCACAGGTCCAGAGGTGTAAAAGACGAAGGGGGACACATTCATCCGTTAATCTAAGGTATACGGGAGAGAATGGCAGAATTGCCGCACAAATCTAAACGGTCGACCTAGGCTCGTGATATGTCGGTGTAATAGCACATGGATAGTGAAAAGCCATCACTGTGCCGAATGGAGCGTCACAGGTCCAAGGTCAGATGGGCACAGGGCATGATTTTAGACATTTCTAGAGGACATGGTCGACGGACGGCGATGAAAACTTTTTTGTTTTAGCGGGCGCACGCTAGCATTTATGGCTTTAATAAACGGACCATAGAAATGTCCCTTCTGCTGACATGCGAAGAGTAAGTGTCGGATAACCTTTTGACCTCAAGCCGAGGAGGCTGTTAACTTGGATTGTTGACTGTGTGTTAGAAAGAATTTGACTGCCGCGGTTTGCTAGTAATATCTATACGTGCCTGGATGGTATGAGGCCTGTACGACTAGTCACACTGTGAAATTTCAAAAGCTAAATTTGGTTAAAGAAGTGTATGTTCCTTAAATGGCTATAATTCTATGTCATGTCTGTACTGTCAGTATGTCCATGTAACGTATATGCGCAACTGCCAGTGCTGCTGCCAGCTGCATGTGTTGGTGCAGTTTTTGCCTGCACTTAATTGTTGTACAGGTGGCAGCTCTTCTATTGCAATTTGCAGCCTGTAGGCTTGCCTAGGTAAAGATATGAGTGCTTACCTATTCTGTCTGCAAATAGTTGTTGCATCGCGTATGATGGGACTTCCATTCTTTTATTGAAGTAATTCATTTATAACGTACGCCGCCAATCTCGTCCCAACTTTCATAACGATCCCAACGAACATTCTTGAGAGGTCCTGATACCATCCCTGTGCATTCCACTGTTTCGCGTGTATGTGAACACATTGGGACTAGCAGTGGTTTTGACGTAAGAATGCCACCACTCCACCACATGAGTCAACCGGGCAGTATAGCGTTAGATGAGCGCTGTCGCTCTGCGGCACTTGTATTAGTTTAAATTACATTCTTGTTTACATGGAGTCTATGTGTTTTTCCAGTTTAAAACTGTGTTTACCATGAGTGCCAACTTGGGACGAAAGCGACGAGTCAGTGCCTTTGTGGTTGTTGGCAATGGTAATGGCCTCGCAGGTAATCATGTTGTTAATTAACACCCATGTCATTCATACAGCAAAGTTTTATTTCCAACTCGACAATCTAGTAGAAGTGTAAAGTTACACTGGTGTTACAATGTGATACGTATCTCGATAGGCAGATCACGATATGATATGTATTATATTATACACGGACATAAACGATAAAGGGAGATATTGTAAATTGTATGCTATGGTAAAGTTGTCACGATATGATATGTATAAGGATACACAGACATAAAGGGAGATTTTGTAAATTGTATGCTATGGTAAAGTTGTCATGTCGTGTATGAAATAATAATGTTAACTCGCTAAGTGAAAATAACGTTTGAATGTTATTTTAATTAAAATTTACTAGTCAACCAAATTAATTCGCCATAACAGGTTATGGACTAGGGAAGTCACCGAATGGGAAGGCTGCAATCAGAAAGGTAAGCTTAAATGTATTCTTCTTCTCGAATTGTGAATGTATTTCTACTCTTATCTAGAATGAATCTAAAATGAACAAAAACATATAAAATCTAAGAAGCAGTATGACCATGGTCACTGAGTCGTTTCCTACACATTTCATCAAGTTATCAATTTGGTGCTGTCACAAGTTTATATGCTATATACTCAAATGGCATTGCTGCTTTGTATTTTCACAGGCAAAGAATCGGGCAGCGCAGAAGTTGCAGTTTGTGGAACTGTACAAGAATCACACAAGTAAGTATTTCTGATTCAGTATCAACAATTGTTAGTACTTCATGAAATGTCAGAATATCCAGACATCTTCAAGCCCTCAATACTGATTAATGGATTTTATTATTAGGTATGTTTTAAAAACAAGAAATTATATATTTATCAGAGTACATATGTAGCCTCTTATTATATATGCAACAGTGATCCTTTTTACTGAATGTCTATTATATGAAAACAAATGTCCTGATTTTTTCCAGTTTACCATGATATCTTTACACAATTTTTCTACACCAAGGTCTTCCTAAAACGAAAGCCAGAAGGTAAAACAATAAACTTCTTTTGAACAATTAAATCTAATATTTAGCAGCAAGCTTAAATGTTATATGAAGTGAAATTAACACTCTATCATTAGACAAAACCTTTAGATTTGATATTGAATTGGTAAGATGTATCGATATTGTGTCCTATCTATGAGCAGGATATGGACTTGTGTGTCATCGAGCGATTCGCACCATATGTGAAGTAATCGGAATCAAGGACATGTACGCTAAGGTTGAAGGAGCGACCAATGTTCAGAACATCACTAAGGCACTTCTCACAGGTTTAACACAGCAGGTGTGTAATGTCTCAGATCCAAGAGTACTGTGATATTATGTCTCTGTTTTCTCCTGCCTATCCTGTCCATATATATAAATCTGTTAGATTTTAACTTTAACAGAGATTACCTATCATGTTAGTTTCTTCTGTTTTTGAGTTCCTTTATCGTTTTTTCATTGCCATTTCATTAAATGAAGACCATGCAGTGTTATTCATTGTTTTTGTTAGAGAAATGGGATCATAGTCAAAATAACAAAGCAAATTTGAGGATTGCAAAGAAGATCTCAGTTATTTTTTGTCACATATTTCAAGGAAACTAATAATAGTAGTCTACTTTAAGCTTGTGAAACTTTTAGCTATTCCCTGTTGGTTTAACAACATTATTGTAGTAAGTGTTGCTATGTGGAGGGTTGGTATATTGGTTTGTAAGTAGTAGCTGCCCACTAATGTTTAAAGTCGATATGATGTTGCAGGCCTTTACATTGTATTTTGTGTCACTGTTACCCCTAATATGTTCGACGTTATGTATCCGGTATCAGGAAACACACGAACAGCTGGCAGAGAGGATGAAGCTACTGGTGGTGGAGCAGAGAGAAGAGAGGGATGACCTTCCTGTTGTCATTGCCGAGCCCAGCCAGGTTGTCACTCAGATTTTCTATATGCTACTGCGTAATTCCACTATATTCCACTATATTCCACTAGCATTGGTTCTTGAAGTTTTTGGAATGTAGTTTACCCTCTTAATTCTTAAACAATTTTCTCATACCATCTGTCAAACAGTCACAATATTCTTACAACTAAATTACAGGCAAAATTACATTCTTATTACGTTTTTGAAGTAAACATACAAATATGCCTAATAAGACAGCACACAGTGGGGAAAATTTGATTAGAATAACGTTAATTGAACCAGGCATATTTTGCACCCTCAGACATAACATTTTGTCCTCCAGATTAACAACCGTCATAATCTAGCCAACCTGTCACCAATATCTATATCAAGAGTAGATAATAGAAGAAGAGTATGACACCGTTTTAACAACGTTTTCAACTTGTAAATATTCTGTCAATATGTGAATAAATATAGTCAAACTTTACCTTGTTTTCGTCTATGATTCTCCCTTAATCATATGACACCACCAATTTACCTGAAAATCGTATGTGTTCTTCAAAAAAGTTATTTGAATACGACACGGTTTCACAGTTTTAACAAATGGACGCATCTCCGCGACGAAACTTTGTTATGGGATTAGTGTTCTATTGTCTATGACGGAACGCTGGGGGCTGTGGTGGAAGTAAGCACAGTAACAGCACTTGTTTCGCTTCATTATCATCAGGAACACGATGGCAACACAGCTAAAATCAGCTGCTAGCTTGCCGTGAGCACACATGTATTTTTAGCACGCTGGAAACGCTACACGCTGAATACAATTTGATGTCTAATAATCCCCAACAGACCCCAGCGTTCCGTCATAGACAATAGAACACTAATCCCATAACAAAGTTTAGCCGCGGAGATGCGTCCATTTGTTAAAACTGTGTGAAACCGTGTATTCAAAGAACTTTTTTGAAGAACACATACGATTTTCAGGTAAATTGGTGGTGTCATATGATTAAGGGAGAATCATAGACGAAAACAAGGTAAAGTTTGAATATATTTATTCACATATTGATAGAATATTTACAAGTTGAAAACTATGCAAAACGCTTTAAAAACGGTATCATACTCTTCTCCTATTATCTACTCTTGATCTATATGGTACTATAAGTGTATCCAGGTGCGGTAACCTCTATATTGCCAGTGTCTATGATATATTGTGTACCTGTATGTTAGATATTTCTATGAGTGGCTGTTCTTAATGATCGGCATCAATGCCAGCAGGTGAGGGACAAGATAGCAGCAGATGAGGAGCACGACTATGACATGATCCACAGCAAGGGGCGCGTGGAACTCATCAAGCCGAAGTCGCTGCCCTTCTATGCGAAGTTCGATAGCTACAAGAAGAAGATGAAACGTCTGGCTGCCTTCAGGAACCAACGCCAACGACAGATCCAAATTTGGGCATCGCAGCAGCAGTGAAAATGTACACTCGTCGTTAACACACGCTGGAATGCATCATCAGGTGGCGCCACCGATCCAAGCAACGGTCTAGAAGTGGGTGTAAAATGTCTGTCGATTGAAGGTACAATGTGCAAGTAGTACATGAGAGGAAATCTGTTGTACGCACCTGTTGAAACCGCGTAAGATGGTGAAACATTGCAGAAACACTTGGCAATGTAGAGCACCCCTAAGCACGTGGTGAGGTGATCGATGTGACTAGCAAAGTTTTATATGTATCAAGGAGAATTGATTGCAAGCAGTGTAGTCGTTTTAATTGGCTTATAGACTTTCCAAAATTGTTCATGGGAACAAACTTGTGCACAAGACTGCAATTATGCTTGATATAAATGCATAGAGTAAGAACTGTGGAGTTACATAGACACGCGTCTTTTGTATCTCGTAGCAGTGTGGGAAAAATGAAATTTGACAGAACACATTTTTCTACATGCCTGGAAGATACGTTTCTGTAATTCTCTAATCTGTTGCATGAAATTATCACACTACGAATTAAAAACTAGCGTTCCAATAGGAAAGTCTAATATGGTTGTCACTTTCGTCTGTGAATTAGTCATGTACATACACTGTATCAAAAAGAAAATAATAAGAATTTGTTTAAACCGAAATTTTCGTTTTATATTAGTAATATAAATCTGTACAGCATATTATAGTATCATATAGTATAGTGTAGGTTTATATTAGTAACATAAATTTGCATCATATATATCACATTTATAATTGTTCAAAATACATTCTAACATAGAATAAAGGTAACATAAATGCAAGAATGGGTAATTATTAGAAAACATGATAAAACTACTGTTTTGGTTAAAATGGTGTTACTACACATAATATGCAAAAGTATTTTATTATACATTTATATTCTTTATAATTGTGATATGCTTCGTGACAATGCGCGTGGCATACGCACCATAACATAAGTGATATAATACTGGCTTGAAATTGGCATTAAACATACCAGTATGGTTTCAGAATATAGACACATTTCAATACATGTATGGATATGATTCTTACATCCAATTATTAATTATTTTTAAGTAGTTCTGATACGAATTACACTGTACTATTCCCAATAAACTAGTGATGACACCAGTAGTACAATCGCTCAAAGGAATAGGGTAACCTTTATGGAGATGCACGGAGCAATTACCAGAATGTTGTAACCTATGTGTCCAAGACAGGTGGTTGTTTAAAAAGAATGCTTTTCGCCTTTGCTGCTCGTACATTGAAAGATTTGCCTCGTGATGCTTTCTCCCTCTTCCTGCTAGCTCTGATAGCTGCACAGTAGTCCTTGATCAAGTGTGCAATCTGGGATGCCTGGAAAATGAAACCATATTCCATATTATTTTAATTATTAATTTCACACTATTCTGGTGTGTGTATGAGAGAGGGGGCCAATAACTAAATATGTGTGTATCAGGTTGGATACTAAAAAATAATATACACACATAGATGTCTGTAGCGCTTAACAACACTAATGAAGACAGCGTTCTAAATTTGCTTTTCTAATTGTCTGGGGACAAGCATAGCTAATGATACTTATAGAAATAATGGCATCATTTGCACTGATCCCCTCATTTTACCTCATTAGCTTGCATTTCTATGCACAATCATTGTCACAAGCACACTTTAATGATGAATAAAATATAACCAATAAGAATGAGAAATAATGATCATGATAATGATGATGAAAAGACATCATTTATAGCTAAATCTTTGCATCTATATCAGGAGTAGATAATAGATAATTCCCTATTATCTACTCCTGATCTATATTCAAATTTTTGATTGCAGTCCTCATATAGAGCAAGGTAAATTTAATTTTAGATGCAAAATTTGTATGCATGGCAATCTCATATAATATCGTAACAAATTGACGTTGATAACAATATAACTCGTAAATAGTAACAATGATATTAGTACAGCAACACGTCTGTTCTTCTCTGGGCTTAGCTGAAATGTTGCCTGGTTTTACAAGACTGAAAATCGTACTTAAACTGGTTTATATCGGCATTATTACATTAGATTATATACATGATGTAGCTACCACACGAAGTTAGAACAATTGTGTCACACACCCAGAGTGTGATATAAACAATACACATTTTAAACACTACATCAGTTACTGTGGCAAGAATAAAAATGACAAGCACATTATTACGATTAAATTAACTTGATGACATTGCCAGAAATTAAAACCAATGCACAATAGTAACTCACTTCTGTTGTGTTAAAAATGAACTTTTCTCCCCTAGCAACGTCTCCAACAACAATCAACAGCTGCTTGTTACCAGGGCTGTAGTTCACTATCTGGTCATAGATGTGCGTGTTTAACACATCCTAGTAAAAAGAAACGGCGTGATTTCATTTCACTCATTAAATATAAACAACAATAACTGAAAGGATGAATGCTTTTGATGACTAATATTTCTTTGTAGTTGTTGAAATTTATTGAGCATACCACATAGAACCTATAAATAGATAAATATCGTGAAATCCAAACGTTACAAAGGATTTATAATGAACCTGTTCACTTTTTCTAGCTGCAGTTCGATAACATCAGACTATTAATTACTCGCCGTTTCACTGTGGGTTCTCAACTTCACATATAATGTGATGGCGTCAAATAATATGGGTTTGTGGTGACATGTACGTATATCATACCCTGTGGTGGGGCTTCAGGAGATGTACCCCAGCTTCACTCACAGCTAACCACAAAGTCTTCGGTAGGTTTGACGTGTACGTTTGCTGGAAAAAAACGGAGAAACCAGTATTTAGCCATTGTAAATGACATGCGTGTAGTATTTATGCGTTGCATACAAAGTATACACGATATACATATAATAAAGGCATATTGATTATGAACAGTAGAGTAGTCTTATTATGGGTGTTTTTGACAATGAAAATTCCCACGTTCACCCGAACAACGGCGTAATTTTCAGTAGTTATTTCAGCGTTAAAAACGCACGGATTTAATCGATTTTTTGTGGTATGTATATTTACGAAATTACTGATATCCTGAATTATTTATGCACACATTTTATTTCACGATCAAATACTCTATTTGAAGAATAAACGCGAAGAAAATTATGCCACATAGTAATTGGGTATTTCTAAGTGCTGGAAAATTAAAAAATATAATTGCATAACTAAATCAAATTCAGACGACTTTCATTAGGAAAATGGACAAATAGGAACATCTAACACCTATTGAACGTGAGTTTTTTTCACAGAAACAATTTCCTAAGCGACGCATAGTGAACTAGAGCACTCGGAGAGCACAGACCTCCGCCAAGGCAGCTCAATTCTCTCACTGTGACAAATTTTATTAATTGGATCCGGATCACCACCACAATGTAATCAATTCTAAGTTACCCCATTTCTGACCTAATCGCTGAATAATTTAATTAAATTAATTAATTAATTGGATCGCGGATCACCACCAAAATGTAATCAATTCTAAGTTACCCAATTTCCGACCTATCCTGAAAATTTTATTAATTAATTAATTAATTGGATCCGGATCACCACCAAAATCTCATCAATTCTAAGTTAGGCGATTTCTGACCTATCCTGAAAATTTATGACAATCCGTCCATAACTTTTAGTTAGGCTGTACACGCACAAACCAACAAACACACGCCGGTGAAAACATAACCTCTTGCCAACCCCTTGGCGGAGGTAATTATCTAAGTGAATTTACGTGCATCTTTAAACTGAACTGAATTAGTCATGTACCGACTTTTGCCATTATAACAAAAATAAATACATTTTTGCATCTGAATTTCTGCGTGAAATATATGTTATAATACATAGCACAACTGAAAGACATCGGCCGGAAGTCGAACGTCAGTTAATTAACGTTTCTCCCGAAAAGCCACTAAATACACCGCCGTCACGTATCCGACTTCCGGCCACGAGCCGCGTTTCCGCAATAATGCAATATCGCCGGATTTCACGAGCAACTCGGCCGTTATTATGCAGACAAAGTACTTAATTATTAGATGTTAATTAGCGCGTCATCTCGTTAAGCGGAGGCGAGTGCGCGGGGGATAGGCTGGCGAGCGTGGCCGCACATCGCGAGTCGCGGCTCTCACTGTCAGCATGAATCGTCGGCGGCGGCATCCTCAGATGTCTGACTTCAGCGTTAATGCGACTGCCTCGCGTGATTGGAAATTCAACTGTGGCTCAGCTGGCCGCGCTGCTGCCAAATTATCCTCCCCCGCATTGGCGTATCGGTTCGTCGACTACGTTCTACAGATATATATATATATATATATACAAACACACACGCACGCGCGCACGCACGCACGCACGCACGCACGCACGCACGCACGCACGCACGCACACACACACACACACACACACACATATATATATATATATGTATATATATACGCACGCATGCACGCACGCACGCGCGCGCACACACACGTACGCACGCACACACATATATATATATTTCCGCAGAACGTAGTTCGCACCAGACAAGAAAACATTTGCATATATATATATATATATATAAATATATGCAAATGTTTTCATGTCTGGTGCTGTTCATGCTCGCTAGATTATGAGTGAATACGCGCCGCGCGTTAGGAGATTATTCAATGGCGCGAATGAAGGAGAATCATGAACGCGAACACAGCCATTTGTTCACAGAATCCTGCATTCGTTAGTTCAAACGATATCGTACATGAAAGTAACGACAGAATCATCACTGCGTCGAAACGAATCAGCCAGGCAGCACGCGTGGGACCAGAAGCCACGCAGCGGCAATTGTGCAAACGCGAGACAATGCTAACTGCAGCCACAGCGAAAGCGAAAAGCGTCTTACGTGCACGTAATTTCTGCTTCGTTTCGCTCGAATGTCGGCTTCGTTGCGGCACCTATGCCGCAGAGAACGAAATTGGAACGACATGGAAAGCATGACCAATGAATTTCTTTGCATGGGGGAGACGGAATGTGATAAAATAGTAACTTGTGAAGCGACATCGTTGATGTAAATCCGCCACTGTTGCTTCGCCGCTAGGGCTCTGACACAAAGAAAGAAAAATCCAGTCGAATAAGTTGAGAATCTCCGAACACAAAATTGTCAGCAAAGCTATAATTTCTCTGCACGTGCTTACAATGATGGCGTCTAGATGGCGGACAGACGGGATTGAGTTGGTTCGGATTCATTCATATATCTACATAGATGTGCGGTCAAATCTAACTAAGCACGAGAGTTGTCATTTGCATTACCACTCATTTAAAGTAGCTAAAATATCCAAGTTGATCTAACTAGGTTTCTAGCAGCCGATTTTTAATTAAGTGAACTCATATGAGAAAACTTGCGTGGCGTAATAATGGCATCAGAAAACATTACTCTCTCTAGCTAAAGCAGCAGCCATCGTCCACAACTCGACTAAGTCCTTTCCAAGCTTCCCTCCCACTCACCCATAAATACACCCACCGACCCAACTAGCCCAATCACCCGCTAACTCCCTAACTCGCTCATAGATTCACGCACGCACTCACACATTTACGCCGCACTCACCAAAGCACTTACTAATTCGCTCATCTAACAACCCATCCACTTACTAATTCCTTTACACTCTCTCCTGCTAAATCTCTCGCATTCGCTCTCTCCCCTAGTATTTTTCTCACACCACTACGCAGTACGTACAAGCCTAATGCTCTGCTACGCTACCTGATGCTACGTAAGTGGCAGTAACAATTAAGTTATACATTACGCGTCAGGCGCACCTATATTAACAGTTATCAGTTATATTATAATCCGTAATTAGTGACTACAAGTACATGTTGCGCACATTCATGAGCATTATCCTGCATCGGCCTCGAGGCATTAGTAGCAGCAATCATCGAGGCAGATAATAACAAGTTGATGAGCGGTTAGCTTGAAATTACATGCAGACAAATATCGCTCGGTGACACGGCGTATTACGGCCTTCTTTATACGCTCTTGGGCGTATCCATCACATAGGCATTATATTCCGTCGATGCTGTACGAGCTATTCACGTATTTACGCACAATGCCATACAGATATTACATGCGTGTACGTACGCTATTCACCACCAACTTGTTGTTGCTTATACAGACATTCTAGCATAGTAGGGATCAGCCGGTCAATACTGCGAGGAAGAAGTAGTATTATAGTTTCTGCCAAAAACGAATTGTCCATTGAATGTGTTTAAACGGGTTGGATTGCGAATTTCTATTTCTATTTCGTCCTAGCTCTCACGAATGATAGTGAAGGTCACTCTAGTCACCGCACATATGCGCCTTACTGTTCACAATTTGCCCATTATCATTGCCAATTTAAATATTCCGTCGAGAAAAATACCGTCGGCGCGAATATTTGTTTGCTGGCTGCGCTAGTCAATTGAATTTGCATGCAATGCTAATGCAAATGGCGCTGATACTCAATCTGAGCTACGGCATTAAAATTCTGCCTTTACGATTCTCGACGTCTACGATGTCAATCGCTTTCCTCTATTAGCCGCCCGGCAGAGCGGCGGCAGTTACCAAAGCTGACGAGGCAATGGTGCGCGAAAACGATCCCCTACCACTAGTCTTCTTCGGCAACCCGAGTTAGCCTCTTCTATACGATATGTGACAGGCATGACATTTCCTTCGCGTAGGCGTGCTCTCATGCCAAGTCATACACACCACCCCCGCGCAGCAACCCACCGAAAAGAAATGCCCACCCATCTACACGCACGCCTGCCCACCCATACACACCCACCCCCGCGCAGCAACCCACCGAAAAGAAAAGACAGTAAAAACGGCGCGCTAAAAATCAATATCGGCTCCAGCGGATTGGTATAAGTCTAGAAGGTGATGTCATTAGCGCGGCGGCCAATCAGCTTGCGCGGACGCTCGCACGCCGGATCAGCTGTGCTGTGAAGCAAGAGAGCGTGTGGCTGAGGCTTCACTCGTAAGCGCGCCACGTTTAGGCAGAAAGGACGGCGCTCTCCGCCTGCTCGCGTGCGTGTTTGTCTATATGTGTATATGTGCGAAAGAATTATCAGGATTGCATGCGAAAGAATTATTAGGATTGTGTGCGGGAGCTTCCTAATTTGAGAGTTGTTTACGTGAAGACGCATCGATGCGTGGAGGAACGCTGAATATATGGCACAGATAGATGGATATTCGTCGCATGTGCATACGACGCGATGACGACGAATCGACCTTGTAGGTCAGATCGCATAGTGGTGATGTACTAACGGCGTCGGATTCTCTCGTCGACCGCTTCTCCCATTCTCTCTGTCTCTCGCTTGCTTCTGTTTGTAAAAGCTGCGAGCTGCGACATTTGTCGGCTTATATTTACCCTCAGCTCCCCGGAGGCCTCCGGGTGAACCGCGCGCATGCGTGTGTGACGACACAAGTGTCAACAAGCCAAGTAGCATTGCGACTTGGTGGATGTAAGTGTCACTCTAAGCCCGTATACGTCTCGCTGTTCCATCGCTCGCTCGCGTTTACGCGACCCTCCCCCCATTCTCTATCTCTCTCTTTCTCTCTCTCTCTCTCTCTCTCTCGCTCTCTCTCTCTCTCTCTATCTCTATCTCTGTCTCTCTTGCCGGCTCCTCGCCGGGGAGATGTGCATGCGGCCAAGATGGCGCATTACACGTTCCAAACGCCGGACTTCGCGACGCGCTTCAAGGCCAACCCGGACGAGCTGTTCATGGATTTCTACTCGTCGTACATCGCCGACAACGTGTGCAAGATCCAGTGGCGCGTCTACTTCAAGCGGCACGTGCGCGACAACACGCAGAAGGAGTACATCTCCGCCTACCTGAAGCTGCTCAAGTTCTTCGACCGCTCGCACCGCTCGGTGAGCTGTCGCGGCAACCTCGAGGTCACCTACTCGATCGGCATACGCGACGACGAGTGCCAGTGCGTGCACAGCAAGTCGGCGACGCACAACGACTGGGGCAACGACTGGGGCTGGCGGGAGTTCCTCCCGCTCGAAGCTCTCGACGACTACGTCCTGCCCGACGGCTCCCTCTTCGTCTTCTGCAACGTCGACGTGCGGCAGGCGGGTCGTCACAGCATCCCGCCGAGCCCGCCCGCACTGCCCTGTTCGAACAGTAACCGCCGCAGCCTGCTGCTCGTCGGCAACAGCTTCTACGGCGCGCTCGGCTCGCTTGGAGAGCGTCTGCTGAACGACAAGTGCCACATGGACGTGACGATCACGGCAGGCGAGAAAAACACGGTCAACTTCCAGGCGCACAAGTCCGTGCTGTCGATACAGTCGCCGGTGTTCGCGCTGACGTTCGACCACAACAAGTACCTGCCCGACCTGCCCGTCGGACACTCGCACCTCAGGATAAAGGACTTCGACGGCGACACGGTGCGAGAGATGCTCACCTACATCTACACGGGTCATACGGACAAGCTGACCGAGATGGCGCATCTACTGCTGCCGGCCGCCGAGAAGTATCAACTAGAAGGTGAGAATATGTGCCTATATGTATGCTTATAATATGTATATATGCGTGCGTGCGTGCGTGCGTTGTGTGTGTGATGTGTGTGTGTGTGTGTGTGTGTGTGTGTGTGTGTGTGTGTGTGTGTGTGTGTGTGTGTGTGTTTGGTTGTGTATGTGTATGTGCGTGCGTGCGGAGTTTACACCGATATAATGATAAGGAAGAAGAAAGAGGGAAGGCATGCGCAGGAAGGCAGACAGAGCGACACACATGGGCGTCAGACATACACACCACACCACGCCACGCCACGCCACGCCACGCCACGCCACGCCACGCCACGCCACGCCACACCACACCACACCACACCACACCACACCACACCACAAACACGCACGCACGCACGCATGCACGCCACACAGAGATGGGGGAAGAAAGGGAGAAAGAAAGCCCAACACATACGTCCGTGTTAATGCGTCAACATGTGTCGCGTTTTCTTTACGTATACATTTTGGAGCTTTTCACTTTCTACGCATACTTTACTCGAACATCCCTATTTTATATCGACTCGTGATCAGCTCCTATGTTCAGCAGGTTATGAAAGCGTGCAGAGCTAAACTGAACAGTTATCCTTGAAAGGGACGTGTAAGTAACGCTCACGTGCAAACAGAGTGAAACCATGCACAGTAGAAATTAATAGCACCGAGGTGAAACGCCGCAGCATCACCAACGCACTGAGCGTTAGAGTGAAACTCACGATCAAAACATAGGCGCAAGACAGCAGTGATGAAGATCCATGACAGCGTCATGCAGATCTGCGTGCGAGAGTTTTTTTTTAGCAGCGAGCCATCACGGGTCACGGCGGATTGGGTGTAAATCAATTTCGCCCCTCGCGGGTCTCCCACTGCTCATCGTCTGCTCACGGCGCGCCCATTCACACGCGCACATCGATTTCCCTCCGTACAAAACACGATGTATTATATTCTCGTCCGAAAGAGCGGCCCTGAAAAGAGCATGTTGCCAATAGGGAGTGCAAATACACAGAGAGGATGGATTCGCTGGCAGTTATGGCTTCTATATGTACGTCTATATAAGTGTATATGGAGCTGGTGGGGTGCGCCATCACTCGTGCGTATCTTAGCATATTACCGCGCTCTCGCCTCACAGTGAAGTGTTCGTGTAATTAATTAGTGTATAATAATCAAATAGAAGATCTTAGCGTGCTTGGCGCATTTTCGTGTGAAATACATAGAAGCCCGGGAAGTCCCTAAAAGATGTGTGTATTTGTAGATTCGCCGCTGCATGGGTACATAAAACTGTTCGACGTGAATTTGTTCGAGATAACGAACAATTTCGTATGCAAATCGAATCATTTGCAAGGAAAGATTACTCAATATTTAACGTTTACTACACCATCCGTTTCATCCATTTTCTATGACTTCATTCTAATATAATCAACATCAAATGAGAGGCGGATTAGCAGCACAGCCGGAGCCCGTTAATAGATCATCTTCAATCATTGTCGTCTCAATACGGGTTAAAAGTCACTAATCCGCAAGGTGACGCTTCGCCAGCTTCGATAGTTCGGAACCACGATTTGAATATGTCGGTAATTTAAAATTTTACCCTCTAATTTACTTATTTTTATATCACAGTACAGTAAACCTATGTTATAGTAAAGTAAAGCTGTGCAATACCTCTACTATTTTGTCCCAAAGAGGCCCACGGAAGCCTGAGCTACGTTTATACTTATGTAAGTTGTATCGGTATCGGTAATACTGCAATATACGCATTATTTTGCTCTTTGTAAGCTCAGCTCCGATGCTTCGGAATTCACACTAATCTAGACCAGGTCTGGCACCAAGCTTTCCAGATTAGTGAGGTCCAACCTGTACCAATAATAATCTAATGAATATTTCTGCAATTAACAGCGTAGCTAACTGTGAACGGTGCACATATAAAGCTGGGTTTACACTACCAATTTTGTGTTGGCGAATTGGCGAATTGGACCACGATAAGGCTATGTGTCAACCTCATGCTCTAGCGTAAGCCGCAGCGCCTGGAAGTAGAGATGTGCACTCTTCGTGCTCAAAATCAAAAATACGTTGAAAAAGAATCTTGTTCCATTAAATCGATGTTTCTTGTGCATACACCCAGCGTGGACTTCCGTCCCTTCAACTCATTGCATTACTTGTGCTAATGCGCTAATGCGTTTTCGTTTTATGCAAATCGATATAACGGTGGCTACCATAGCTCGCATTTCCACGCTGAATCAACACAGCATCGGCGCGGCGTCTTCGCTTACGTTTGCCCAACGCCAGTGTCTGTCAGACACGAGCGCGAGCAAGTGGTGACATTCCTCTTCCATTGGACGTTGATTCTCAGCGGTGACCTTCTGCGGGTTATTGTCAGCCTGCGCGCTGCCACTTGTAACATGTAACATGTCTGACAAGCGTAAGACATGGGCGACGACAATTGACGATGATACTCTTAATAGAAATATCATCTCCGCCTATCAAATGCTACGATAGTAATGCAGGAGAGAGAGAGAAAGAGAGAGAGAGAGAGAGAGAGAGAGAGAGAGAGAGAGAGAGAGAGAGAG